TGGGACTCGAATCGTGAACGTGGGAGCTAAGCTGTGAGCACATATAAGGCGTGAATCACAGCAAGACAGACAAATACAAATTCTCCTCGTTTTTCAGCAAACGTGACAGGCTACCGATTTAACAGTCACTCACAGATAATTTCACACCCATCGGGAGCCTTAATGATTTCAAGAAACACCAGTTATGACCAATTTTTAAGTAGTAGAACATCAGTAAATCTGATATAAGAATTCTATTCACCCTCTTTCTCTTAAGTTTATAGAGGAATGGTATAGGCCTTGTGTTTCCAATGAATTTTACATACTCTTTCACGAATCCTATTACAAAAATGCAATATGGCAAAGACCTAGATTTCCTTGAAATTCACTTCTGCCTTATGACCCAAAGGGCACTCTAATGGTTAACGTGTCGATACTGCACACTGCACTACCAAAACCAGGGTTCGAATCCCGCTTATACTGCTGATGAGACGGGCTCAGGTGGGGCATAACTGCAGTCCACTTCTGTCTGGATGAGAATACCTTTTGAGAAGCATGGCTATGGGAATTTCAAGTGAACCATGAAGCCTATTTAAATCATTGTGGTATACCAATCCTTCATCACCTTTGAGAAAAATAGGATTGATGCAGCCCTTAAATCTACCCATTTCATTGTTACCAATTCAACCAACAGGTCTGTCATCAACCAACGCGATGTAAGGTGAAATTTCTTCCTATAAAATATATAGCGAATGCTTCTAAAAATATCCAATATATACTACTTTGTGCTAATAGTAGTATAAATGGCGTTAATAATAATATTTATTAATATTATAAATGGTTTCGACAAATAGGTGTATCAAAAATAACATTCACCACTATAAATTTTTTTTATTCGAATAAAAGAGTGCGGGAACAGGTTGAGATTGGGCTTAGGCGAATACATGTACGTTTTGCTACATTTTTGGCAATATTCACTTTTTTGGTATCATGTTAATTATTTTCCCGCAAGATGAAAGCAATCAACCGCCTATATTATTTACCATATATATCAGCTAACCGTCAGATATTATGACCACCCATGAGAGGTTCGTTAAACCCTCTGTTTTGAAATCCTCTCCTTTCTTTAATCTCTCCTATTAGTATTTTTGGCTTTTTCTCTCTTCTCTAGTCTCCAGCCCCCTTATTCCCCACTCCCTATCTAAACAAAATAAAACTCCCCATCCCGGCATTCTTATATTTTCTCTTCTTTACCTTAGTCCCCTGACTGGCATCTTAAACGGCTTAGATATCCACTCTTCTAAAAGTCTTTCTTCTCATTTATCAAAGTTAACCAATCTCCCTTTTTTCTACAGCTTATCTTATATAAGCATCGATCTGTAGTCTACTCAACCCTTGCTAGCCGTCCCAACCTCTGGCCTTTTAATCGGTTGTTTCGCATTTAACATATCGGTATACACACAGAATCGCGAATAGAGGCGGTCACATATTTCCTGTATTCTCCGATCGATTCCTTTTTCTTTCACTAAATTCCTCTTTATCTCTAACCGGCGATATTTAACTGCATGTTAGATGTATCTCAGCTTTTTGGCGTCCATATCTTGTTGACTTCCAACTCCACTTCGACAGCACTCAATACTGAACCTTGTGACTGGCATGAGTACCGACGGTGCAAAGTGTACTGGTCACAAGAGTGGTACGTTTCAATAATTAGTGAACACACCGCACCCGTAATTTTCGCTTGCTCAGGCACGACTTGCCTGGCGGCCAGTCCATGATGGGTTTGGCTGCGACCAATAACAAATAATATCCTGTAACAGATTATACTGCATTAGATATATATAGATAAATATATATAATATACATAATATGATAATATCCTATAGGTTGGGAACGGACGGATGTCTCTTCCTAAAGAGATGATTCGACCTCGATTTTGCAACTTGGCTATGCAGCCAGTCTAGTCGAAACATAGTATCGTCAGTGAATAGCGCTAGGCTTAGCAGCGAGATAAATCTTTTCATTCACAAGTAAAGTCTCTGTTGACTGCGTATGGCTTCATTTCTCACACTTGCCCTGGTACATTTTATTCCTCGTACAGCTGAATTTCTCATCCCTACCAGCTCCCATTTTATATAACCAAGTTCCTTTTTAGAAAAGACATGAATTGGCTACAACAGAATGGCTAGGCTTAAAGAAGTTTTATATGTTGATGGCTGAATAAAAGTACCATTTCTGATCAAGAGAAACTGACAGAAAGAATGGAGGAATGGAGTCTTCGGCCCAAAAAACAAATCTAGTAGAGTGAGGAGGCTAGGCTAAATTAATTGGCGATGAGTGGTGAGGCCAAGGCGCTATTTGATTGAAAATGTATCAGAAAACGGAACAGCAGACCCAGCCAAGAGGCAGGAGACGCATCGGGGCATGCACCCAGTCGATGATTCAATCTGGAAAGGAGAGATAGCAACAGTAGTGAGGACACAATGCTGAATACGCTCTTTTAGGTTTGTCTGAAAACCTGGCAAGGGTGAGTAAACGAGATCAAAGTGACGTTCAAAAGAGCAGGAATAATGCGACCTAAAAAGTTCACGTCATCTAGGTCGTCATGTTTGTCCAAAAATATATTCTATAATGTGTCAAGCCTGATAGAGTTTTATGAAAAGACTGGCAAAGGTGAGAGAGGAGCTGACAATTGGGCTTCACACATCAAAATGAAAAGAAGAACTCTTCCGATTCCATTGCATCCGACATAGACTTGAATGGGTTCCATTAGCCGCCCCAGCGGGACTCGACCGTAGATGTTCGAGTTAAGAGATAAACGCTTCGTCTCCAAAGTGAAAGTCAATGCAAAAATCGAGCATTCTATGCGATCCCTTGGGGCAGATGTGCTTTCATTCCAGTCAAACTTGCCGAACTTGGCAACCCTCAGTCTCTCCATATCCTTGAAGCAAATCTGTCAAAGACTTCTTTTGCCGTCAAGAGGAGCCCAAAATGACATAGATGCACTACCAAATGATAGAGCCTATAAAACGCATTCGTGCACTCTTTTGTCATGATTTCCGTGAAGGCTCCACTCAACTCAGCTGAACATCAGCATTTGTATCGCTCAGCTGAGTCAGACTTTCGCGATGGACAATGCAGGTCAGCTACAGTCTGGTGGCGGCTTCCTTTCCGTCCACCGAGCCTCGAAGTCGTGCAACTTGCCAGCTCAAGAAGAAGTGGACAGCAGAGGTGGATAAAGCATCAATAATTCATTCATCACTAAGCCAGCAGCTAATTTAGCGAGGATATGCAGAGCAGACTTGGAAGTGGGCGATGCAAATAAGACTCATAGTGACAACAAATACGAGGAGACACAGAATGACTCCCAGAGTGAGCCAGTTTTTTAATGAGGCTGGGCAAATTGGGCACAAGAATGAGTGTTGGAGTAAAAGCCTTTCCTTAGAGGGACATTTCTCAATATATGTAATAGTAGTCCGCCTATGAGGCAAGCTACAGTGCTTTCTCGTATATGAGCAAAAAAATATGCATAATAAATTTGGCAAAGTTTGGGCAGGAGATGTTGGCAGAGTGAGCGGACGCAGCCTCTACAAGGAGATCTTTTTGCCATTTCGTTACGGTTTCAAAACACCCACAAAGCGGACGACGTTTTTTTACTTCCCGACCAGGCAGCAGTTTAGGCAGTCGTGGACATTTCCTCCAGCAGAAGCCTTCATCTTAACAAGACTCGAGTCTGAGTCCAATCCTCCTCGTTTCGGTCATCCGAGTTTAGCCCATGCGGCTCCTTGACATTAATGTCTCCGCCTTACCAACGTCTGCCTATTCCATTTTTATAGAGTTGCCATGCTAACTCGGTCGCTAGGAGATGGGAGACGTCAATCCATTATACCGTAGATAACCTCCAGTCTGAGAAAGATGGTGAATGAGCAAATTGGCGCAAGGTTAACCTCATTTTTTGGTACTAAGAGTCTGACATGGGCTTGGAGACGACCACGCTTGAACCAAATGTTTCGGCGATTCCAGAGTGGATGATTGTATAGTGGCTTAATGGAATATTGAATAGGTATAGAGAGTTTTCAGCTTCCGCTTTCCAAACCAACTTGGCTATTGGCAAGAAAGTGACACAATTTTCGTACTTCATGTTCGATTGCTTTCCGAATCCTCCGTCAGCAACCACTGGTGATATGGCAACACCTACATCATATTCATCGAACTTAAGTAGTATATGCTCTATATAGCACCATTAGTTGCATCTGGCCTGTTAAGCACTCTTTAGCTATCTCGAATAGAGCGGACAGAACCGGAGGTCGTGGAGGCTGGGGTGCACTCAATTGCAAAGTATTGAGAAGCTGAAGAAGTCCATCTGTTACATAAGTGCTTTTCACATTTACCATTCGCTGCTTAAGTAACCATTACCATGGCAATATGTGGGCCAATCTGTCCATGTGGACCAAACTAAGAGAAATGATGTGTTTCCTTTTGCCCTTGGGACAACAGCTGCTTTTTATGTCCTACCCACCGAATAGCTTCCCCTAATATAGATTAACTAGTCGTATTAGGCAAAATTTTGTTGAATAAATGAGCTATACGCAAAATTGTATCAGTTAGAAGTTGTAGAAAATGGGAGATTTGAGGGAACGAGATTCAGCTGTCTTAATTAAGTCTAAATCTAGCACTGCTCTTTGGCCGAGGTGGAGGATCATTAAC